AATCACTTCTGCGATTTACCGGCTGTATAGTCCTGGGCACGTTACTTAAAAAGGTCTGAAGAGAAAGACTAATATCATATGATATCACTTATATGTGGGCTCTAAAAATATATGAGACAAATGAACTTATTTACCAACCAGAAACAGACTCACAGACATAGTAAACAAACTATGGTTACCAATGGAAAAGGAGTGGGGCAGGGGATAAATTAGGAGTTTGAGATTAACATATACACACTACTGTATATAAAATAGATAAACAACAAGGACCTACTCTATAGCACAGGGAACTATATTCAATAGCTTGTAATACCTATAATGGAAAAGAATCTGAAAAAGAATATGTACACGTGAAAAAATATTACACACGTATATGTGTAATTGAATCACTTTGCTGTAGCAACATTGTAAACCACTATACTATACTTCAATAAAAAAATATTTTAAAAAAATTTTTACATAGGTCTGAGCCTTCAGTCTCCTGTACAATGAAGATAATAATACTTAGCTAATGGGGTTTTGATAATAAATAAAATGAATGATATGCCTGGATGTTTCTAATAATCTTCCCAACGCTATTAGAGCCAACCAAAACCCAACGGCAGTTTTCAGCCCAGGAGGAGTACCACTTAACATCCTGCTTAGCCACCATTTTGCTGGAAATACTGTTGCATTTTCTTCTTAAAGTTTAATCAGAACATTTTGTTGCTAATGTGTGAAAATAATCGGCGTTTATATTTTGTAAATGGGCCAGCAGAGGGAAACTGAGGTCAAAGCCGAATACTGGATCTGAATCAAACCACCCACAAACAATCTCGCAAAGAATTAAACTGGTTGCAAAGATCAGCATACGAACTAAGCGCCCCCATTGTCCTAGCAACCTTTTAAGCAAACACTGATTTGCTGGGATGTATGACACTGGGAACATCTGGCCTGTCTATTATCCTCTTGCAAGCAAAAAATGAAATCGTGTAAACTGATCTTTAGGCCAATTATACGGTCTAAGTGCTACAGTGTTTGTTTGGCTCCTTTGGTTCCAGGTTTTAAGAACTTAGTTGGTAGCCACACCCCTCCCTGAAATCCTGATTGCGTCTTACTGTAACTGACCCCAGGGATTTGTTTATGCAATGTCTGCATCTTCTTTTCGGGACAGGTACTTGTAAATGCATCATCTGTCAACTGTATGTGCAAAGCACTGAGGGAGGTCCTGTAAGAATAAGTTACAGGAGTGACGCAGCAACGGGAAGAGAGAGGAGGGTGCATAAAACAGCGGGCCTTGGGAGTGGCTCTGGTCACATGTCCAGTGCTGCACATTTTTCCCCCATACACCAGTTTTATACTAGAAGCCAAGTGAGGCGTGTAGAGGTTCTAGCCTGCAGCTCACCTAGAAGGCACTAAACTAAGAGTCAGAAAATCTGCTGCTGCTTCCAACTAGACAAGGTCATTACTGCATCTGAGCATGTTTCCCCATCTAGACTCAACTTCATTAGCCAGACACAACATGCCAGGCACTGTCCCAAGCCCTGCACCTGCACTCATTAAGTTAATCCTCTTCATGACTGTAAGTGGCAGGTGGTGTTTTATCCCTGCCCTCCTCGTCTTGCGGTGGGGTGTCACTAGTCAGGGTGGCAGAGGCGGTAAGATTTCCCCCTCGCCCACCCCCAGTCTGGCTCTGAGCTGCTGTGTTCAGCTCTAATGTGCTAGGATCTGTGCTCCGAGCAGTGACTGTGAGGCACCCCTGGGGTGTTACTGACTATAGGAAGGGGCGCTGTCCCTCTCCCTGACCCCGCTCCACCCCTGTCCTTTAGCTGCTATGGCCGAGAGGCTGTGATGGCTGGAGCTGACCTAGGAAGGTCTTGCTCCCACCTCACTCCCACTCCCACCCTCCTCTGCCCCCTTTTACTCCATCTTTAGCTAAGATGTGTGAGAGATCCTCTTCTGTTCACTGGATCCTTTCCAATCTTTTTGAAGACATTTAGGAATCCGAATCTGGGGCAGGAACAGAAGTATTGGTAGAAGCATCCTGGAAGCTCCTGATTTTGTCTCTGGTAAAAATATTTAGTTATCATTGTGTGAAATAATTAAATGGGTCTCTGGGTGAATTGACCTCCTCTCTTGCCCCACCTCATCATCACTGATCCCTGAAGCAAGTAAGAGAGCAGTGGGATGGCTGGCCCTAAAGCAAATCTGAAGCCACGTGGGGACTCGACCCCAGGCACCAGTAGCTCCTTCCCCAGCATTGGAATTCTTCATCTTTAAAGGAAATGCATCTCTTGAGTCTCTTGGTCTGACTGGGCTTATGTAGGAATGAAGGGCAGAATCTCAGTAAATCTCAACTCTGACGTGTCCACTGCAGGGATTTATCGCAGATGGTAATCGTTAGGATTTTCACATCTTAAAGGAAAGAGCTTTATCCAGAATCGTAAATAACCTGTAACCAAGGCTTAGATTTATAAAGCTGTAAAAGAGGGCTGCCTGGACAAGGGGGACACAGAACTGAGTCAACTGGGGAAAGTTGGACCGTGGTCTGGGAGTTCTGGGCAATGTAACGAGAAAATGGTGGCAGATTCCCTCAGTTGGAGGACCCTAGTCAGAACCTAAGAAGGTTTCGTCCCAGTTAATCTCATGAAATGCAAGCTCAGAGACAATGGGGCTCTGGCACCTAACTATGGCGTTGTCACCCCTAAATCAGCAGTGGAACAGCAAAGTAAAATAGCAGGCCACAGCCTTCCAGAAGTTTCTCATCTAGCAGGGAGGCAAGGCATTTATAGATAGAACTGTTGTTGTATGCAGGCTTTGGTGTGTGGTGTGGACCGTAACTCAAGAACTGAGGGAGGGATGTATGGCAGGAGTAGAAACTGGATTTGTCCAGGAAAGATGTGTGAAGGGAAAGGGACTTGACTCGGGATCAGAAGGATGAGTGAGGTGGACACATGTGAGGGAGGAAAGTTTTGCCCCACTGCCACTGGCTCCCACCAAGATGCCTCGTGCCCCTGCTGCCCCCTTCTCCCTAAGCCAAGCCTCAAATCACACACTTGTATTTCCCTCTTGTCCTTCAGGTAATTGATCCTTAAATTCCACAGCCTCACCCTCACCATCCTCAAAAAGCCTAGAAAGGGAAACCCTGACTTGTCCAGATGTATCCCATTCAGCTTGGACACCACAGGATGGGCGTCCATCCTGAAGAATGAAGCCAGGAAAAATCCAGCACTCCCTCCCCAGCACTAGGGGAATGCCCATATTGGCGTAAAATTAGGTTAAAATGAGCAAGAGAGGAGAAAGGGACAGGGTAGTGCCGGGGGTGGGGGTCGTCCCACCTCAGCCTCCTTGGGGAGGGATTCTGCCAACCTCTAGGATGCATAGTAGAGAGAAAAAGATGCCCCCAAACTCTAATTCTAAAAGACACATGCACCCCAGTGTTCACAGCAGCACTATATACAATAGGCAAGACATGGAAGCAACCTAAATGTCCATCGACAGATGACTGGATAAAGAAGTTGGGGTCTATTTATACAATGGAATACTACTCAGCCATGAAAAAGAATAAAATCATGCCATTTGCAGCAACATGGATGGACCTGGAGATCGTCATTCTAAGTGAAGTAAGCCAGAAAGAGGAAGAAAAATATCATATGATACCACTTATATGTGGAATCTAAAAAAAAAAGACACAAGGAACTTATTTACAAAACAGAAACAGACTCACAAACATAGAAAACAAACTTATGGTTACCAGGGGGGAAGGGGGTGGGAAGGGGAAAATTGGGAGTTCAAAATTTACAGATACTAACTACTACATATAAAATAACAACTTTCTTCTGTACAGCACAGGGAAACTATATTCAGTATCATATAGTGACCTATAATAGAAAAGAATAGGAAAATGAACATATGTATGTTTGTGTATGACTGAAACATTATCCTGTACACCAGAAATTGACACAACATTGTAAATTGACCATAGTTCAATAAGTAATTTTTTTAAAAGAAGAAGATGCCCCCAGAGGTGTGGGAAGTTTCACAAAAGGCCAGGGTCCCACAAGAGTGGTCATTACCCTGCCCAGGCAAGCAGGGGAGGGTCCAGACACCAGAAGGAGATAGTCGTGACTGGGAGAGCCCCTATGCGCCTGTGCCCTGCAGAGCCGAGCGTTGGGTGGAAGGTTCCCAGGTGCCTGCTGAGACTATCTGTTGGGGGACAGGGATGTTGGGCCTGTGACTCTGGAGAGCAGAAAGGAGATGCCACAGGGGCGAGAAGACTACCCAGGGCTGGCTTTGGATTCTGGACTTTCAAGAGGATGCCAGGCGTTTATTCTTCCTTGACCAGCTGGGTGCCCAGGAAGGGTGGGGAAAAGCAGAATTCAGGGTCGATGCCTGCTTTGCAATATAAGGTCCCCAGGTTGTATTTCTTAAGAACCGAAGGGTACCTGGGCAGGTGCAGCAGCATCTGGAAGAAGAGGGAACTCCCCAAACAAAGCAAAGGCAGGAGAAACTGTTCCTGACAGGTCTGGGCAAGGCAGGGGCTCGGAAGCGGAGGATATATCTGCTGGTGACACCAACCCCACCTCTTCCTAGCCGTGTGGCCTGAGACAGTGACTTAACTTTTTTAAGCCTCAGTTTCCTCATCTATAAAATGGAACAACTGGTAATAATACATGTCTGGCAAGGCTTGCTGAGATTAAGTTCAATGACCTCAGTATTCGCCTTGACCCTGTGCATCTGGTTAAGGTCAGTCCTCTTCCCTTCTGCGTCCTGGAGAGGGAGACTCCAGGAAAAATGAAATCGAACAAATAATCTTGCAACACAGTAAGCCCCGAAAAAGGAACCGGGGGCTTATTCATTGTCAAGTTCTACTGCATGCCAGCAGAGCGCTGACGTAAACGTCGTGTCTGCCTTCTACCTGTTTCTTTCAGGCTCCCCCAGCCCCTGCACTTCGCACCTGCCGGGTTGCGAGCCCGCAGCAAGCATCGGCTGACATTTTCTTCTCTCTGACTCTCTTCCAGGGACGCTGTATCAACTTCACCAGAGTCAAGAACAACCAGCCTGCCAAGTACCCCCTCAACAATGCCTACCACACCACCTCGCCGCCCCCCGCCCCCATCTACACCCCGCCACCCCCTGCTCCCCACTGCCCTCCCCCGCCCCCCAGCGCTCCCACCCCTCCCATCCCATCCCCCCCTTCCATCCTCCCCCCTCCTCCTCAGGCCCCGCCTCCCAACAGGGCCCCGCCCCCC